CTGAATGAGGTAACTCAGACCCAGAAAGACAAACACGGTTTGTACTCCCTCATAACTGGGCATTAAGTAAAGGACAATCATAGTATAATCCACAGACCCAGAGAGACTAAGTAACAAGAAGGATTCAAAGAGGCATGCATGGATCTCCCTGAGAAAGGGAAATAGAATATAGATTTTGCCAGTGGCCTGTGGTGGTTGTGGATGTGAACAGGATACTTCCAGTGGCGGGTGGGGTGGGAGAGATTGAGGGAGAGAGAACTAGGGGGTAATGCAGAATTCTAGTGTAGTGGTAACTCCTTGGAATCTGTAAGAGTGACCCTAGAGAAACCTATTAGTAATGCACAATATAGAGCCTGGACTGGCCATCTTCTATAACTGACCATCTTCTATAGAAGGCAAGGCTCTTAGCAATGGGATTGGTATATCAACCCAGCCACAAAACGTTATACCTACATTCTGTCTTGCCTGAAAGATGTGCTGGGACAATGGTGGCGCATAACTTGTGGGAGAGGCCAACCCGTGATTGGTCCAACTTGTGGCACTTGCCATGAGAGGAAACCCACGTCTGACATTACCTGGATAGCAGGAACCAGAAACAGAGCATCTTAGAGACCTAGGATAGAACCAAAAAGAACTGGCAAAAACAAAAAAAAAAGTCAGTGAAATGATTCCTAATAATATTCTGCTGTACTCATAGACTGGTGACTAGTCCAGTTGTCAGCAGAGGATCTTCATCTAGCTAGGGAGTAGATACAGAGACCCACAGCCAAACACTAGGTGGAGCTAGGGGAACGCGAAAAAGTGGGGACCATTGTTGGACTAAGAGGGATCAAGAACACCAGGAAAACCAGGCCCACTGAATCCAACTAAGCAGGACTCATAGGGGTACACAGAAACTGAAACAACAAACACAGATCATGACTGGGTCTGAGCTAGGTACTTTGCATATACTTTGTGATTGTGTAGCTTTATGTTCTTGTGGTATTCCTAAGAGTATGAGTGGGAATATCTCTGACTCTTTTGCCTGCTCTTGGGCCTCTTTTCTTTCCCCTGGGTTGACACATCCAGCCCTGATATGAGAGTTGTGCCCAGTTTTATTCTAGCATGTTATGCCATGTTTGGTTGACACCCTGTGACATCTCCTCTCCTCTTTCTCCTCCTCCTCCTTCTTGAAGGGAAACAGAGGAGGAGTTGATCTGGGGGGAGGATCTAGGAGACTGTAGGGAGGGGAAACTGCCATTGGTATGCAATGCATGAAAGAAGAATAAAACTTAAGAGCAAAAGATCACCATTCATACACTTAGATATTCTGGCTTGAGTTAGGATAAAGCTAGAAGTATAATCTCCTTGACAGTATATGAATATATCTGAATATCTCGTGGTATTGACAGAAAAAAAAACACCACAGGATGTAGTTCTGAAAACCTACACACACCTCCCAATGGCTTCTCTACCTTCTTTTTCCACTCCTAACTTTCCCCCTTCTTCCTTCAAACACCTCATAATTTCTTTTCTGAAAATGGGTATTTGAGTTTAATTTCCTTGACTCTTTGCTGTCCCTAGCCCAGCTTGCCCTCATTTGCCGCCCCCTCCTTGCTTGTGTGTATTGTTCGCTTGTGTATGCTCCACATGCCTCACTGATGGGCTTTCCATTGCTGTCTCTTTGCAATGGTGTTCTCTCATCTACAGCAAAAGAGTTTTGCTCAGTTTGGAAAGTCTGCTGCCACGGCCTGACTCTCATTTGAGGCTGGGGTTCCGTCCTCCAATGTTCCTTTAGCACAGTACAGTTAGGCAGCCCTGGGTGTCTGTTAATCTCAAGGCAGATAGTCATCACATCCCAGTAGTCTTTCTGTCTCCCGGTGGGGCCTTGCTTCAGCTTTCATACATGGAGAAATTTGTTCAGTGGATGTCGGATTAAAGTGCTTGGAAAGCTGCAAGTCACGGAACTTGTTCCTGTCATGCTCTGGGATGATTGTGGTTTGAATTTCAATGCGGTACATGAAAAGATGATTTCCTCGCTTTTTGTTTAGGGGTACTTTGGAATTGTTTACAGTGAGATGACCAAAAACCTGGGAAAGTAACTTGTGTGAAAAATATCATATTGTTCAATCACTCTAGATGTTCAGAATCACTTTGACTTTTTTAAACATGTCAAATCCTGAGATCTGAGCAGGGTGTTGCTCTGTTGGAGAAGCTGAGACTGTGAGGGCCCAGCACTTGTCTACTTTAAGCCAGATCAGTTCTCCCGGGGAATGTCACTAACGTCACTCTACTTCCTTTCTTTTTTATATTCAATAAAATAAGTCAATAGCAAAGTTCTTCACAGATTGCCCATCCTGAATGATACACAGGAGAATTTTGGGCTGTTTGTGCTATAATATTAGGTTTTTGTGTCTTTCAACTTCACATAATTTACTACTTTTTGAGAGACTAATCACACTCGGCTACATGGCCTGTGGTTAGTCTCTGTACAGATTTCCCCATCCCATCTCGTCACCGTCCTCACGGCTAGTCTTCAATTGTAAATGTTTATGACATGCTCTGGATGGTGGTAACATTTTCAGAGCATTAGGTTGATTCCCCCTTTCCATAAAGTTGTTCTCAAGAGTCTTATACTAGAGACCAAAGCTGAAGGAGATGGTTTTGCTCTTGTTGACTCTGTAATATTGGTAAAGCTATATCTCTCTTAATGCTTTACCACCAAAATAGGAACAAGAAATGGTTTTATACCACTTGGCTATCGTGAGCACATGACTTTGCAGATCCTCAAGTGAAAAGCAGATATTAAAAAAAAAAAGAACGTCAAAGAAGTAAAGTATTGGGGAAATTAAGAACTGATATCTTGAAAAATAGACTCTGTGTAGAGGAAAAACCTCCAACATGATTTGGCAAGTTCAGTGGTGTGTAGATGTCTGAGTCTTCATAGATTTCAAATGAGGTGTGGTTGGGTAGAAGTGGGGTAGGAAGGAGAAGAGCACAGATGTTGAGGGCCTGAGAGCAGGTGCTAGCATTGCCACTGACCTTCAGGAAAAGTTTCCTATTCACCTGAGCTTTTTATAGGACATAAAGTAAGTAAAAAGCAGTCTACTGAAACTTAAAATTGTAATTGAGCAATTTTCCTGATGAGAGACTTTATTTTGTAAATTTATTTTGGGACTGTGAATACAGAATTGCTCAAAAAAAATCAATCCCTTTGTTAATTCAAAGTGGCATCAGGTCTTAGCTAAATTTTGTGGAGGAAATAAAATATAGATTTTGTTTAAAACTCAAAACTTCTTCCAGGAAGTTGTTTCCAGTGATTGTATTCCTACGTGCCTAATTAGTCATGGGTATCAGGCACAATAATAGAGGCAGGGCTGCCTTGTAGCTCAGGCAGAGCACTTGCCTAGTGTACATGTGTGTCCCTGTACATGCATCCCTGTACCAACCATGAAAGAAAAGAGAGCTCACACATCTTAGGTGTTAAAACATATATTTTAAAAAGGATTATATGAAATTGCTTGTCAACTGTTAGTGACTGGTAGATGTGTCAAGTTCCTACTGACACTCTTGTTCAGGTGCTTTTAAAACCTTATGGCTGCATCCCTGTTGAGAACGTGGGTGTTAGGACAAAATCTTGGGTTCAGGTGCTCCGTCTGGTTTTGTTTGCAGTGTACCCGCATAAGTTACTAACAGCTCTAAGCTTAAAACAGGAGTGAATAGCGAGTAATAGCATCTTCCTGCTCAGGATGTTGAGATGATAAAGGGGTAAAACTGTTGCTGACGCGTGGAGTCATGTATGGTGATACCTCCTGCAAAATCTTTTTGTTCAGAATTGTTTTGCCTTTCCTTGGTCTTTGTGTTTCCATATGAATTTTAAGATGGTGTGTGTGTGTGTGTGTGTGTGTGTGTGTGTGTGTGTGCGCGCGCGCGCGCACTTATATGTGCTACTCATATGACCCTAAAACATGTGTTTTAAAGTCTGAGTTTGATGACCACTCAGAGTGAGCCAAATAAGGTTGACACCAATGAACATGTCCGACGGGATGGGAAAAAACTCCAAACCCTCAACACTACACAGTGAGCTACAGGCAATGGAATAAAGTTGGGGGCAGGAGAGATAGTCCTCTCCAGGGAAGAACATACCAATTACCTGTCCAATGTCAAACTGTCAGCCCTGAGAACACAAATTCAAGGAACATGATATGGACTCAACAGATTAGATTTAGATGAGATTACACACACACACACACACACACACACACACACACACACACACACACAGAGGCATGCAGCAGCAATTAGTGAAAAAAGGGCCATGATTTGATGAAGAATGGGGAGTGGTATTATGGAAGGTTTGGAGGGAGGAAGTGCAATGAAAAAACTTAATTGAATTATAATCTCCAAAATAAATGAATGGAGAAAAAAGTATTGAGTTTGGTCATACCCTAATAAAGGTAGATATGAAGGGACTTTATTATACTGCTGGTGGTAGACAGGTCATTCATATGGTTCTTCTGTGTCCCATGAGAGTCGTATCAATATTCCATTGTGTGAGAAGTATGTGAGTCTTTCCTGATATCCAGGGAGGAGGAGGAGGAGGAAAGTTAAACCACTTTGCAGACGGAACCTGACCATTGAGAGCATCATCTTGAAGTGTCCCTTTGGGGATCTTCTCTAATAACACCCTCCTTGCTCAGCAGCTAGCTTCCTCTTTTTGCCAAAATACCCAGGAAGCACCTCTCTTTCACTGATGGCAAACTGACTTGTTGTCTCCGACTTTTGTATGGTTCGTCTCCGTCATCCGCAGCACCTTTCTGTGGTCCCTGTCACTTAGCAAATGTTTGAGATGTACCGAATCCACCCAGAGAACGCTTGCTTTGCGCTCGGTTTCTGTTTCTGAAAAGAGCACTAAACTCCTGCAGTGTTTTCCCCGCTGCTGCTGCTACAGTGTGGACTGTGTGTGGTGTCACCAGGCTGCCGCCAGTCAGCGTTCTCTTTTCTCTCTGTCTTCACCTCAGGCAGAAAGCCTGGAAGATAAGAACATGGCTAAAGCCCACCGCTGTCAACTAGAGAAGCTGAAATCCCAGTGTGAGAAGCTGACAGAGGAATTAGCCCAGAATGAAAACGAGAACAAAAGACTGAAGCTGAAGTACCAGTGTTTGAAGGACCAACTAGAGGAAAAGGTAAAAGCGGAAAAACAGGGATTCCCATTTGAAGGACTAATTGCTTAAAATGTACTTTATTTATGCTACTTAACAAACAGTGGTCTGTGTCTTTAGGAAAATTACATTGGTGCCAGGAAAAAAGGTAGTTTATTAGAATGTTCTGATTTTTATTATTTCCACTGACCAGTCACACTCTGGTATATTTGTTTTAAATTTCTTTCTAGGCTTTCAGATAGGAATTTGCAGGGAAAGTTGAAGTTAGTTTGGAATTTGCAATTAAATATTTATCATTTAGGGATTTCAGTGTATTGTCTTGCCTGCCTACCTATGTGATCTCCCTTTGCCCCCCACTTCCGACTTCCCTCCTCCTCCTCTTCCCCCCTCTTCTCCTCTCTTTCCTCCCCTTCCTTCTCTCTCACTTTCCTTTGTTCATTCCTTCCTTCTTGTTTCTCTCTTCTCTTTTTCTTTCTCTCTTCTCTCTTTCCCTCCCTCCCTCCTTCCCTCCCTCCCTCCCTCCCTCTCTCCCTCCCTCCCTTCCTTTCTTCCTTCCTCTGCCTCAGCCTCCTGATTGCTGGGATTCCAGGTATGTGTGGTTACCAGCTGAGCTCTGCTGTTGAGGCCTGCTTTGTTTGGCTTCTCTCTACTACTCTGCATACTTAATATATCTGTGACCAGTGTGTTGTTACTGTGGATATGATGCTACATGTTCCACAATTAAAATATAGTGTGAACTGTTTTATATCCCTTTATCTACATTTAAGAAATATTGTCAAAGGACTAGAGAGACAGCTCAGTGGTTCAGAGTGTTTCTTGCTGTTCCAGAGGACCCTGGTTTGGTTCCCATCACTCACATCAGGCTGCTCACAAACTGCCTGTAGCTCTAGGAGACCCAACCCCTGCTGATGTCCACAGGCACGCACACATGTCACAGCTTACCCTCACAATACGTACAGTTAGAAATAAAAGCATTTATGGCATTTCATTTGTATTTTAATAAATCTTGCCTTAAGATCAGAAAAGTAAAACAGCCACACAGGCTGGCCTTACAGACCAGGCAGCAGTGACACACACTTAATCCCAGGTGCCACACTAGTTTGCCGTAGAAACCAGGGGCAGTGGTGCACACCTTCTATCCCAGAACTAGAGAGGATTATAAAATGGGAGGAGACAGCTCTTAATCTCATTCTGAGATTCCTGGAGGCAAGATTGCCATTTTTGGACTGAGGTTAAGGTAAGAGCCAGTGGTTGGCTCTTTTCTTTTCTGACCTTCAGGTTGAATCCCAATTTTTCTGTTTTTATTAATCGTGTCAAAAATATTAAAAATTGCTAGAAATGTAGTCAGTTGAAAATGTAAAGTTCACTTTGCTCTACTTAATTTAAATTGTCTTACCTGCTTCTGATGGTGATGTTCCAGATATGTGTATGTTGTCACAGATTTGAAGAATTAATGTTTCCGTTACATTGCTGTGAGTCCAGCATGGTCCCTAGGGCAGGGCTCAGATGAGACACAGTTCCATTATGAACCTTTGCCTTTCATTTGTTAACACCTTATACACATAGACACTTTTTTTTTTGTCTTCATTGACAAATTTTTGGAGTCAGTGTGTTTCTGCTTTTGGAGTTCTCAGATTTTTTTGGGGTGGGGATTCGAGCAGGGTTTTGATGCAAACACATCAAATGGTGTGGGGGGGAAATGCTAGTCAAATAATCTCAAGCTAAGTCCAAATAGAGTATACTAAGATTTTTCTTTATTAAAAAAGGAAACTCACAAAAGAGGAATGGGGGTCCAACATCCAGGTGTGGAGCATGGGAAGAAGAGGGGTGAGTGGGTGGGACTGCAACTTTTTGGCACTCCAAAGCCACACCTTAACCTGGTCCAGCCTCTCAAAGGCCATTGGCTGAAGGAGGTTACCTATCAGGGTTTATCTATAGTTTTTGAAGCCTGTCCTGAAACTAGCTCTTGTAGACCAGGCTGGCTTCAAACTCAAGAGATCCCCCTGCCTCTGGCTACCAAGTGCTGGGTTTAAAGGCATGTACTACCACTGCCTGACTTCAGAATTTTTTTGTTTAGTATTTGCATATACATAATTAGGCACCTTGAGAACAGGAATGAAGTCCAAACACAGGAGGCATTCATGATATATATGTTTTATCTGTGGAACCTAAAAGTAGTTTTATATTTTGGTTGCAAAACATTTCATGAGGTCAGCTGTAGCATTTTTTCACTTGTGATATCTTGCTGTTCTTAAAAGGTGTGAATTTTGGATTTTTTTTTCAGATTTTGTACTTTTGGATTTGCAGTGTTCAATCTAGTCACATCATGAATGGTGTGTTATAGTGCAGAGCAAATATATCCTGGCACTTTGAAGTTAAGGACACATATGTGATAGATATATCTTTCGTGGTAGCAGGGAATTAGATGAACCAGATAGGTGGACCATTTTATGTCCATGCTTGCTGTTGATAGAGAGGAATCACATCTTGGTTATCTTTTATCTATGATGAGGCACATAATATGGGATTTTTCTCTGTATGTTGTGATTACCATTTATAAATTAAAAAAAAAAACTACTTTGGACCTATAGCAGGGCAGAACTTAGCTAGGTGGGAAAAACTAAACTGAATGCTGGGAGAAAGAAGGGCAGAGTAAAAGAGAAGCCATGTAGCCCTGCTGGAGACAGACGCCAGAACTTTAGCTGGTAAGCCACAGCCACATGGCAGTACACAGATTAATAGAAATGAGTTAAATTAATATGTAAGAATTAGCCAGTGAAAAGCTAGAGCAAATGGGCCAAGCAGTGATTTAATTAATACAGTTTTTGTGTGATTATTTTGGGGCAAAGCGGTTGGGAACCAACAAGCTGCCTTCTTCAGCAGGCACAGAGGTCTAACACATAGTAGGTAAGTGCTAGGTATATATATGTGCACATATATCTATAACAAGGTCGCATGTGAAAACAACAATAACAACAAAATAATATGAACAAACAAAAACCCTGCTGGTAGTGAAGGAAAGGATAAGGACTTTAATTACTATTTAAGCAATGCAGTGACTAGGCTCATGAGGCTTCATGAAGTGAAACAGAGGAGCAAGATTTCCTTTGACTATATTGTAACCAAAGGGAAATCTCTATTTCATAGTGATATTCTTGCTTGTCCATCTTTAATATTAGCATAACCATGTGGAAACTCTTTCTTATATACAATTTAACACACATACACGTGCAACTTAGTGTCACACACATTTACATACCTTTTAAAATATCATTTTGTTTGCATCCTTTCTTTTGGCTGTATTTATTGTCCGAAGATATGTAAGAAATGCTAGGACTGCATTAAACTTCCTATAGAGCATTAGCAACAGTGATAGATAGTGTTGACGGATGGGGGAGGATTGCCATAAGTCTGTGTCCACCATACTACCTTCCACATTTTCTACTCGTATGTTTAATGGTGATGTTATATTAAAATATGTTTTCTTTAACATGTGATTGTTACTTTGACAAGTGTTATTTTTCCATTTTCCATGACAGGGAACAAGTATTGTATAACCCACAGACCGTTTACACATGTATTTCTGACTTTTATTACGCTTATTATCAGGAAAAATGTTCTTCTGAAATGTTATTGAAATAATTTTCCTGTATGCATAGTGTCATTAAAGTTTATTATTCCTTTTGCTTCAGTTTTACAGGAAAAATTCTTTATTTCTTCCATTGTTCTAAAATGATCTTGTTGATGTTAACCTTTTGATTGTTCTGGCATTTATCTCAAAATTCATAATAGTGTTCATTATATCTGATACTTATTTGTATTGGTTTCACTAGCATATGGGGATCTACCAGAGTTAGAGGGTAATTAGCTCAGCAGCTAAACATAGAGTTTTCACGTTGATAGTTTAAATGTCTGAAGTATACAGCACTTTGTCTGATCGAATTTTAAAAATTTGTGTTCTAAAAGGTAGAGGTTTATGAATGATGCTGTTACTCTAAGAGGTTTCAAAGTGATTGTATAAATTATGTAGCTTGTGAATTATGGTTGATTTTAACGTTAAACATGCTTGCACAATATTTTAGAAATAATTGGGTGCTTAAAATTATGACAGTATTTAATATATTATTATGTTTATATATATGCACATTGCCTTTTTTTTAGTTTGTACATTGTGGCCATATTGTCAAATAACATCTAATAGTTGATGCAGATACATATAAACCTATAAAAATGGTGAAAAAATGAAAGTAATGTTCATTGTTGTTTTTCTAATTTCAGCACAAGCATCAGAAGGACATTTATTTATAGTTAGCGATTTTCCTTACTGATTTCTTGTATTTCAGCAATACAAGAAAATGAGAAGTTATATGGGTGGAAAGTATATATTATTCTTGAGTATTCCAACTAGAATTATTGTATATGTTTCTTCTTCCTCACTACCCATAGCCGTGGAAAGGTAGATATACCTCTCGCCACCATTTTCCACTTCTCCTTTAGTCGTTGTCCCCATATGCACTGCTCTCAGGAGTTGCTGTCATATGCATACCTTTAATTAGTTGACTTCATCAATGTTGAGGTTCTTCAGGTCTGTCTAAGATTTATATTCCTCAAAGTCTGTGTGCTAGCATCGCTGTGTTTATTAGGTAACAGTGGACCAGAGGCAAGGGTGGTGTTGCCTAAAACATTATAGGACTCGGCCTGAACGCTCCATCAGCTAGCTTACCCAGTGTGTCTGCCTTTGTCCTTTGGAAGGAGGAGGTACAGTGAGCAACCCTGTTCTTGTCATTTCTATGAGATTTGGTAGGAACCTTCACTGATCTGCTGGCAGATGCTAATAGTATATATGAGATGCTCAGCTATCTAAAACAATACTTGCTAATTTCAGTAGCAATCCTGAGCTGTCTGTACAGTACCTTGTTTTTTGCTATGAGTTCCTTAAGGTTGAGATTAACTTCAATGAAACTATCAGGAAATACTTTAAGATCACAGACTGTGAGCCATCGAAGAAATGGGGGCACATGGAA